GACAGAATTTTCTGAAATTATGATCTCTCGTACCAGTAGAAATTCCAGTAGCAAAGTCCATTGGTTTTTGAATTATGTTGAAGGGCGATTCAATGATGAGTATTTTTATTTTCAGAGGATTCACTCAAAATATTTCAAAAATAGTGGTTCCCAAAAGCCAACTTCTTAGTGTCTGTTTTATTTTTGAAAGCAGACTTGTTTTTTCATTCGAAAGTTAACTTGGATTCTTCATATATCTGCTTCTAACATTTCAGACTGTTAGTCAAGCCTCACAGACTAAATACTAGCAAAAAATGTTTTGCTTGTGAGCGTTTTGGAAAAAATCGACCAAAACAGCGACGTACACAAATGTTAACGATACACAAGTATTAGTTTTGTACGAGAAATTCGGTATACGTAATTTATATAGAGAGCTAATTTGTACCTCCTGTCCTATTAGTAATTTGCCTGTACACGTTGATCAAACTCATGAAAAAAGCATCACAATACTTTTGAATGGCTAAACTATTTGGCTAATGCAAATGTACCTTCTGAATCCTGGAGTGATGTTGAAGAAGAATTTCAGCCTTCACCTCATAAATTGTTCGGACATGAAAAAAAAACGAATCTGTGAAAAAAAAAGAAAAAAGTTTCTGGCGTGTTTGTTAAATGAATGTCGTCGTAAAAAAATAGGCTTGGATAACTTGGAATTATAAAAACATAGAAGGTCCAGTAAATTCAAATTATCTATCTTGTGTAAGATCAATTGGGAAAGTTATTACGCTGATATTAGCTCCCGATGATGTATATCAAGAGGCGATTGATACGTCACGCAATGAAGAAAAATGTGTTATCGATGGAAGTTTTCTTAACGTGATGTCCGAAATAAAGGAAGCATATGAAAACACTGGCAGTCAGATAACTAGAAAAGAGATTTTGTCGATTCTAGCTCTCAAGGTAACTTTTAAGATGATTCAAGAATTTATAAAAGACCTAACCTATTATAGATTCACGGGGAGGCTCGATTTTATGCTGCCGATACAGGAGTAGAAGTATCTATGAATCTACCGCCTCGAATTTCTCAACGTTTCTCTTTTGATCAGATCGAACATTTTATTGATTTTATGGTTAGTCATCATATCTGCACTGATATGCCATTTGGCAAAAACCGTCTGAAGTTATCCGATGGAGCAATCTTGTTTGTACCTGATACGATTCTAAATATGGCCTCTTCCAGAATAATATACCAATACAATACTTTTTGTGAAGAAAGTCCTCCTGACTTTACGATATTGTAACCTGGATCATTGCTCAAAATTTTAGAAAGTTGTAAAGCTTCTTATCGAAAGTCTTTACAAGAGTTGAATTACTTTGCGACAGATGGTGGAAAAGCTTTTGATTGTTTATCTGCAATGGTTGAAAATTCGAATTTGAGAAATGAGGGTGTGTGTATTCTCTTCATCCACACCACTCATACCAACACCCTATTTGTATGCATCAAGATGATGTAGTCTATGTTATGGAAGAGCATATAAAAATGATCGAAGCACAAACTGCTGTTTGGGAATGGCAAGACATCATTGAACTGATTAATATTGATTATATGATTCAATGATAAAATTAGGGTGTGGGGTGGGTGTGGGTGCGAGTGTTTGGGTGAGAGTGTGGGCGTGGCTGTGACTCAAACGAAGAACTACACCCACACCCACACCCTCGTTCCATGACTAATCCAAGTATTCTTTTTTGGCATATCAGTCTGGATCATTTGAGTTTGCTAATCATGAACTTTCATGGAAAAAGTTCATCATTTCATACCATTTGACTCGCTTCAAACGAAAACGTTTCTGTATCAACAAAGTCTCGAAAGATTATTGTAGACAATTGAGATGTTGGTAAGATCTGTAGCAGGCAATCACGTCCAAGAATATCTATAAAGAATTTTATTCTGTTATGTTATTTGAGCTCTCTGATGTACATACATGAAGAGTTTTCAGCGACGAATCACAGAGAAGCACATGAATTTGAGACATCACTAGAGTTGGGATAAAACACGTTGTGTGAAAAAGCGGTTATGGCATAATCAAAGTTAAAGTATTCTTGTTTATTCTATTTGTGTCGAAACTCTTAACGATGAATACTGTTGTTGATTGATCGAATTCTCGAAAGCTTTAACCAAATCGAAACTTTCTCTTGATCAATAAATAAGATTTGTGATAGAAAACGTTGATATTGTCCTTTCTATTCACTGACGAAGAATATTGATCGAATAGAAAAATTTCCTGTAACAACTCAACAGAGAAGACGTACAATTGACTGAGCAAAAGTATGATTTTGGTAAACAACAAATGATCATAATACGTCTTTTCAAAAGTCAATAATTTAGATAGAACAGTTCTAGAAAAAAGATAGTTTTTATTTTGTTCAATAAAAAAAAAACTTCATGACCGACATTCATATAATAACAGCAACCATTTGTTATGGTATTCTTAGTGAGCGCGGCATGCTTCTACTCATTGGTAAATGGGAGCCTGATCAACTTTGTCGATACCATGATTTACGAATCATTTATGAACTGTTGGATTAATCTGAATAATGAAGTTATGCTTGCCGTTCTTGCAACAGCGCAAACTAGCACTTGTGAACATCGTATCAAAACTGATCTATTTGAATTTAATTTTTTGACGCTCTTGGTTTGAACGAGATACGGTCGTTGCGAATCAACTTCTAGCATCTGAGAAATATAGCCGTTGCTAGTAAAGCATATGATAATAGAATTCTACCCAATTAGACACTTTTGAAAATAATCAGAAATCATTGTCATCCTGAAAAAGGTACACTGATTACAACAAGTAAAGTATGAGTAATTGTTATATCTATTGAAAATCAAAATGTATTCAGTTATGCAAATGACACTTTTTTGCAGCCAACTAGTGGTGTCAAAATATGCAAAAGAGCAACGAAAATATGCTACTTCGTCTGAAAAAAAATAACACGATTAGGCTAGGAAAAGAGATTTTTTTGCAAGTAAACGATAGTATTCAAGGTTTCGTAAAATATTTTTTTCACTTTGACATATCGACAAGAAACTAATGGATTCTTTTAGAATTATTCGTTCATGTATTCGATTCTAAACCGGATCAATCGAATAGACAAATGAAGAAATGTACTATTTGGCAGATTTCGTTATTCTTCTCTTTCGACGACATTTTAAAATTAATCTAATTAAGAAAATATCAAGTTTAATCTTTATCAGACAGGATCAGTATATGATACTGCTTTCTCTGACCTTCTGTGTCGTCCTCTTAAAAAATTTTGGTATGCACAATACTTAATCAGTTTTCAAATATACAAAGAGTCGCTTTATATTGATCATTTCAAATTGCAATCAGTATACAAAGTAGAAATAGTAGATAGCTATACTAAAGTCGAAATTATTCAGTGTCCTCTTTTGCTTTAAAACTGAACAATTTGAAAGAGCGTTGGCAAAGCTACTCACCAAAAGAAAAGAAGACACCGAAATGTATGAATACATTGGATAGTCCAATGAGAATGATTTGATTTCATTGATTAGATAAATGATATGAGTGGGCAAACGATATTGTCCTAGAGTTTTTCTTATTTCTTTTGAAAAGAACTGAAAGTACATACAATAAGTATTGAAATAAATCTTTATAAACACTAGACCGGCGTTATGTATTTAAAAAACAAGTGATCTGCTTCGATCTCCACTGTTCTCACGTCAAGTATCTGTTAGGTTTCTTTGCTTAATTCATCTTGCGGAAACATGCTGATACATGAGTGACTGGAACATAGAAAAAAAACAAATTTTCACTAATGCTTGAAAGAAAGAAATCAATTCAGTCTCACCCAGAAGCACTATATTCCGGCATTATCCTTGCAATCGACTTCCAAGGCGGATTAAACTGGAAATGTCCCGTCGAAACTGGTGTTCCAATAAAAAAACCACGACTCTTGTTGTTTCCAACTGAGAAAAGGGATATTGAAGATGAAGAAAAACACGTATCCTTTGAGATCTGTCAACTCAAGAGGACATGAGAATATGCAGCAGTAAACAAACCCACATTTAACACTACTTGTGTCAGATACTGAAGTATTATTGTCTTTTTGTGCGCTGATTGAGTCAATGAAGAAATTAGACAGTTTTATCAAAGCCTTTAGTTACGATTGTTCTTCTAACTTGTTATATCAATGGTACAAAGCCTTGCTGTGAAAAGATCATTCTATTGCAACAATCGATAGACATTTATTTTGATAATTGACTAATGAAAATGATCGAATGAATGCCTCAAGGTTCGGTTTTTGCTGATGGATCTCAATTAAATACGCTGGCGACAAAGAGCAAAATCGAGTACTTTAGTCGTTGGTGGTAGTGGTAATGATTTTGGCTTCAATGTAGTTGACGAGATCAATCATTGTGTGCAAAAGTTTATTATGGGCAAGAATTTATGCGACGATAATTGATAAACCATGTCTGCATTTTAAAAGATGTGAGTAAAAGCGAATTCGAAATGGGAATGGAATAGAAACTACACAAAAAACGAAATGAAAAAGTAATATATATACGATATCTTACTTATAAGACTTTCTCTCTGAAATATCATGAATAGTTACTGAATATACAGAATAAGAATCATGATTATTCTTCCATTACAAAATATCGTGAATCTCCACAAGTCTTCTATTGCATATTGAGTTGAGTCAAAATAGCATGACTGATAATTAGAATCAGCATTTTACTCATCTAAGAGATATAGTGTATAAAGTTTCATGTAAAACTCTCTGGTGCGATCACTGTAAACCAAGTCTGATGCAAGATATCATTTGCATGGGTTTTTTTCTATCGTTTTCATAAATACACTTCGCTCAGATCTAGATTGTTCCTAGCATTGTTGTTCATTTCTACAATGAAAGGTAACAATTATATGAGTATCGATGGTGAAGTGAGCTACTCAGAGTTTCAATATCAATGAATAAGACAAACAAAAAATGTTGCATTTCTACTATCCAACCATTGCAAGCAGTTGATCGAGAGTTGTTTCAGTCTGACAACATTGTCGATTGGCACATGTTTCGATTAAATGTATGTAAAAGTCAAAAAATTCTTTTGCTTTTTCTTCACTTTCCATTTCGTGTGCTAAGGAAAAATCTAACTGATTATTACCGACACACGTGATATACAACGTTGATGACGAATGATAAATACTTCCATTATTAATAACATGCATACCATGTAGTTGTATTTGACCTTGATTATAGTCACATGAAAATGGATATTTACCAATATTCGAAAAATCAAATTCCGACATGCGTCCGTTAGGAAAAAGTCGAGTAATCTGATTAAATAGATGTTCATCTCGCATCATATCACAAAAGATATTCATCGATAGAGGAACACCGTTTCGATTTAGTTGTTTTCGAGTTATCATCATACATTGATGTGCTAGTGACCAAAATCGAGTAGAACGAATTGATAATGATCGATCGAGAGAAACATCGGTTGCTCCAACAAAGAAACCCACAGACATGGACGTTAGAGATGATTGTGGAAGACGTGAACGCATATCAAAATCCATCTCGATTTCAAATGGATCTAATTGATCGTTGTCATCAAGTGGAAAATAATGATGAATAGCAAGCAAAAGACAGCTGAGCAATGGACCCTGTAATGTAACTTCATGTAAACGACATTGTTCATGTAAATTCAAATAGAGATTAGAAGAACTTGATGAAAACAAAAATCTAATTTTGTGTCGTTGAACATGAAATGTTGTTTGTTCACAGTCGGTAAGAGGAATCGATTTGACCGGAATACGAGGTTGTCTTGAATTGCGAAGGCTTTGTTTCAAATGATGTTTGCCGATGAATGATATTAGAGGATAAAGAAGACCATATGGACGTGATATGAGTTGACCTATAAATGGTAATATGTCCGTATTGATTGGTTCAAAATGTTCGTGTAAGTTAGACCAAGTGGCCAAAGTCAAAAAATCATTGATAAGTATATACCCACTTCGACCATCCGATACGCAATGATTTGTGTAGAGAATCAAATGAAAGAGATTATTCTTGGAGGATTCACAGTGCTGAAGATCGAAGAGAAACATGAAATGAAACAGTGGGAAAATGATTGTATCCATATTCGAATATGGATTTTGATTACATCGATTTTCGACGATTCGTTGCCAAGATTCGTTCGTGATTTTGACAATAGAAAAGAATGAGTCAATTGGTAGCTGTTTATGGTCATATTCGAATGTCTCGAGTAAATATCGATTACCGTCGACCCGAATACGTGAGCGCATGCGAGGATGTCGTTTGAGTAAATATTGAAGAACTTGAGGAACGTTCTGAGTCAGTATTGAAGGATCGCCAGTCAAATGTGCAACATGTGCAATGGTCACCCAACCACCATGTGCACAAAAAATCTTTTCGACACCATTCATTTCCATTGTGAAGGCAACCTCCATCGACATTTCTCTAACGTGTCCTTGAGTAATGACTACGTTATTTCGAAATTGTCATTCTGCCTAAGCAAATGACAACCACGATGACTAGATTTTTTTCTTTTCTATTCTGTTGACATCGAGAGGAAAAAAAGACTGCACTCTCACGGCACGCTGTCAGAGTGACGTAAGTAAAGTTTAATAGCGTATTCAACTTTTTTTTATCTGAATTCGCTCTAACATTCGAGTTGAGTTTCTACTCAATTGGGTTAGGTGCAAAATTGAATTCTACATCGAATAATGATATTTTGAAAGTTGGTCATAGGGCGAATAGTATCTCTAATATCCGCAATACTACTGTTTTAGAGTGGGTTTTGGAGTATTGACTGAGATGTGGATGTAGGGTGTGCATGGGAATAAAGAGAAGACAACACCCACACCTTTCCATTTGAATCATGGAAACAAAAAAATGACAAATATATGTGTTGATGTTACACTTGGCAAAGTTCGGAAAAGATTGAATATTGATTTTTAGAAGGAAAAAAAAACAATTCATATCATAAATAAAACTATTTATCAACAGATTAAGCTAATAGAATGAGTACAGATTATTGTAACCTGTATTGTTAAAAATAATACAATTTGAATAGTGAAATTTTTTTTTTTACAAATGTTGTAAAGATTATTTGAAATGGTTCATGTTATATTGATCAATTTTCGGTATACATAAGATTTCAATCGTCTTTCAAGAATAATGGAAAAACTCACTTGCAAAAAGTCGATTTTCCTCAGAGAGATTATTGTTGAGATGGATATACAGATATTTTCGTAAGTTGTCTACCTTACAAATATCAAAAATATTTCAAAGTTTCACAGACTTTTAAAGATCATCCTTTTATAAAAACTCTTGGAGTTTTCCGAAGTGTATGATATTTTTCAAATAATTCAGTGGAAATAAGAGATCATTTTGTTCAGTCGACATGTGTCTTTTTTCAGACAACAAGCAACCTCTGATAGCTATCAAAGTGATTTATTGGTTATTTTAGGAATGAAGGTAAAGTCGAGATTTGGGTCTAGCCCTCATTGATCTCGGCAAATCGCGGAGCCGAGTTTAAACTGCTTCAATTTCAGATTGAAGAAACATTTTACCACAAAGCTCTAATCAGTCTCTGGATGGATATGGGGTTCGAATTCTTATTATTGAACTACAAGAAGAAGATGATGGTATTTAGATCAATACAATCCTCATTTGATAAATTAATGAATGATTTGAACAATGATAGACTATTTTGTGCAGGAGAGCAGCTTCTATGAAAAACGTTCAACATTAATATGACTGCCACTTAGTTCATTAATTGATCACTGACTTCATTGAAATACTATTGTCTTATCGTAGTTCACCAAAAGCAAATTGAATCTGACATGGATCTAAATCCTTGTTTGAGCTTTACTGTTAACTGTTTTCTCTATGCAACATTGCACATTTGTATATAATTATTTTACCTTTTCTTGAATAACTTGGCAAAATATATTTATGAAATACTTTTATTAGGGAAGGAACTGTGAATATCATTGACGTAGAAACCCTGTATGCTTTCTTAAATTTATATGTACAAGAGAAACATTGCACATACATTGTTGCTACTATTTTTCTTAGTAGGAAACAACAAGTGCTAGTGCCTACTCATCTACTCCGATTCATCTAGGAAGTGATAAAAAAATTGATTCGCTTGTATTTTTTCTTTTGCAACGTGTTTTCTCTAACTCATCGAATGTGCTTATTTCCGTGCGTCTTATTGAGGAGTAAAACTCCAAAGACATGTGTTTCTCAGAAACACGCTCTTCCTTATTTATTTTCAAATTTTAGATGCAAATTCTTTTTTTTTTCTTAGTACAGCTCTCTATCTATATAATTCATCTCGCACCTTAAGAAAAGAAATACTTTGAATAGAAAGAAAATATTCATAAATTTTATGTTTAATTGTTGGAATGAAAGCAAATCATCAAAATTGTTCATAAAAACAATAATTTAGTGTTATTCCAAATGTAAATGGTAGTATCAAATAAACGTTTAATTATATAGTTAAAAATTAGCTTATTAAAATTAATCATTTTCTGTAATTTTTTGATCATTTCATCATCTGCTGTTGGAATAGAAAAAGCCAATAAACGAAGATTATGATTTGGTTTAGTACTAATTTTCATTAGAATAACATGTACAAATAATTCAATATCGTTGCTAGTTGTACAACCAATTTGAAAATATTTCATACGAAGAATTAGATCAATAAGAAAAAGAGTTTCTTCAAATGTAATCATTGTTTCAAGAAAAGCTTTTGTAATTTTATTTTTATTTGACACATAATAAATATTTTCTAGATCTTCAATAGATAAGCATGTCGAATTGTATTAATGTGAAAGATCATATTTTTAATGAATCAAGATCAGGTAAGACATTGATAGTTTCTATCAATACATCAATAAAAATTTCTGTTTCTGAAACAAATTCAAATGATAAATCGATGCCATTGTTGATTGCTATTGTTATTAGTATCAATATTGGCAGATTCATATCATCTTTTTCTGAAAATAAAATTCATTTTATATTTTAAAAAAATCTTATTTAACGTACTTATGAGTAAAAATTGAAAAACGAATTTCTTCAATTTCAATATGAACTTCAAATATTTATTGTCGTTCAATCCAAAATGGTGAAATAAAATGAAATAGATTGACCAAGATAATCTACAGGTTTATTTTTTTTATAATATGTATTTTTATAATATTCGAAATAAAATGTTTTCAAATTAGGTAAATATTGTTTAAATTAATCGTTGGCAGAGATCAGAATTAAAATAATTGATATCTTTAGATAGAATAATAAAACGAAAATTTTTTAATTTAAATGGTAGTTTTTTAATTAATATTTCGATTTCACTAATTGTTACGCAAATTACATTTATAGTAATATATGTTAAATTAGATAATGTTATTGGTAA